GTTTGTTAAAGATTGCTTTATGATTTGTTTGACATACCACTATAATTCCTGATTGTTTAGTCAGTGGACACTTACATGTAACTTTGTTATTAATAGTAAATTTAGCTTACTGGATAATATTAGCTTTTGATTTATGGTCCTCTACCTCTCAGGTTGCTGTACTAGCTGTGCTGTACGTGTGAAGTCTGGAGAAATAGGACAACCTGAAGCACTGGGAATATCTGCTGAATTGAAATCTAAGGCATGCACTGTTATTGACTTATTTCTATTTTAGACTACAACTCAGACCCATGGTTCTGTTTAGTTCTATTCATTTCATCAATTATATCCATTTTCATGTAAATCCTCAGTCATTGAGGAGAGAGAGGACGTCCACAGATTGAGGTGATGTGGCTGCCTTCAGTCTGCCGAATTAGATATCAATAGGGTTTCTTCTTCTCTAACAAAACTAGCTTCTTGTCCCGATTAAAATAATTTTGCTTTTAGTTTCTCAATCATCTTTCTAGCAAGTAACCATTTTATCAGTAGGTGAAAACTCATTAACATAATGCATAAGAAATTCATTTTCAGTTGGCCTAAAATGCAGGGATATGCACTTCTCTGTGTGGGGTTTCCTTCCTCTGATGTTGAAGTTGAAACACAAGATGAAGACAAGGTATGTACAAATCATGACAATTTCACTTGATGAGAAAATGAACTGCATGTTTTGGACCACAGTAGGTAAACTCATAAAAAAATGACTTTGCACCATATCAAATGCCTCTAGTGGCACCAGAATTGTAGCATCTTTGTGTCTTGATTTACTTTTTGTCAACTATAAAGATTAATGCAGTTGCATGAAGGAAATATTAATTCTTCCAACTGCAGGTGTATTGGCTTCAATTTGGAAGATATTTTGCTCGAGGACCTGTAGTAAGTTCTAACTATAAACTTTACCCATATACGCAATTACTGATTACATCTTTTAATAGTTTCTCAGGAAAGAGAAAAATGCGTTTAACATGCTAGCCTTAGGAGTGAGGAACAATACCTCTTGTTAAATTGGGGGAAAAAAAGAAGAAGAAGAAGAAAAGAATCCATCTGACATAGAGAAAGAGATGATGTTGTGGAAAATCACCTTTCCTCCAAGATTATTGTATCTTTTGAGTTTATCTTACTTCTATAATGTGTTCAATGTGGCAGGAAAGGGATGATTATGCTTTGGAGCTAGCTATGGGTGATGAATAAGCTGTTTTATAGTTTCTAGTTGGAAGTGAGCATCAATTGTGTAAACCTTGTGAATTCCGTATTTTTTCATTTGAACCACTTGGCTTGAATTCTAACTCACACATGCACAATGATTATTGTTAGTAAACCACCAACTTGGTTGGTGAATTTGCAATTGTTCTTGAAATTGTGCTTCAACCGGAAAAATTGTGACTTAATTGGTCCAGCAGAGACCACATTGCATTGTGAAATGTTAAGCCTGAAAGCACAGTTCTCTTGTGACAAACTTGGGGTCCACTCAGCCAAATGGATACATAAGCTTTGGCCACTGATGGTACATTTTTTGCAACTTCATTGGTCCTCATAGGAGAACATACCTCTTTGATACATGGGTTTATAAATGAAATGAAATGCCCTTGAAAATGACACTTTGCTGGCACAAGGTGAAACACTTACCAGAGTCTCCATAGTATACTATCTAGAGCATAAATTGATGGTTCCTGCTCACTAAAAGATGTTTAGAAGCTTTCTTTGCTGGATCAGTTCAGTGTTTAGATTCTTCTTTTATTAGCATTTGAAAGCTCAGAAACTATTCAATGTAGCAGACATCTCTTGCACCTTAGTCTGGCCTAGTTTTCTCCATACCCCAACAGCCCAATGCTTTCCCACACAAGAAAATTATTACCAGACATTTCATTCTCTATTTATTTATTTTAGAGAAAAATTAGATGTATAATACATATTGGGCCTAGACAAACACGGACAGAGGCGCAGAAGTTGACCTTGATGGGAAACAAAAGTTGCCCACGAGCCCACCAATCCCTTTCTTGAAAGGTAATTAATTATCTTTGCACACATGGTGCAGAAGACAGCTCTGGAAAATTGATTAATCATAGCTATGTTGTCTTCACCTAGAGATTCTTTTTGAAAGCATGATGACACTATGAGGTTAGCAACTGAAATCAAGAATATACAGCATCTTTCGTGTAATAACTAGATACTTTTTTTTTCACCAAAAAAAAAAAAAAAAAAAAACTAGATACTTTTGAGATTCTTCACCTCAATTCTCTTTTAAATATCTCCTTGGTCCCCCTATGTAATTTTCTTGGGTAATCTTTGTCATTCTTCTTACTTTGTATACTTTGCAGTGATGACATTCATGTGCATTTCATGCAAAGAAACAAAAGGAAATGATGCTTATCTTATCCAAAAACCAGCTCAACTCAAATAAAAAGTCTTCCTCATGGAATAGTTTGTCAAATATCCAACTTGCCAAAACTGCTTATTCATACATGTCACGCGAAAAGGAAAAAATAACTCTACACATGTGAACGTGGAAAGTTGCTCTACCGGCTGAGAGATGCAACCATGGAGGGAAATATTATAATCTGCAAAAAATTGCAGCTTTAGGATTCACAGTGGCAGACTTGGTGTAAAACGATATTAGCTGTTGAATTTTTGCTCAGTCGTGCTTGTTGAGGCCTGCACAATTCAGTGACACAATATTCAGGAGAAAGCAAATGCATAAAAGGAAGACATTAGCATCTTATATTGTTTGCTTTTATATTTTACTGTATATAAAACAGTCTTAGCTGGTGAA